CGCGTCCAGGTGGGGCTGGAATATCTCCCGAGAAGGAGACTCCACAGCCTCCCTGGGCAGCCTGGGCCAGGGCTCCGTCACCCTCAGAGGGAAGAAGTTCTTCCTCGGGTTCAGCTGGAGCTTCCTCTGCTCCAGTTTGTGCCCATTGCCCCTTGTCCTGTCGCTGGGCACCACTGGAAAGAGTCTGGCCCCGTCCTCCTGACCCCCACCCTGCAGATATTTGTAGGCATTTCGAAGGTCCCCTCTCAGCCTCCTCTTCTCACAGAATCACAGAATCACAGAATAGTAGGGGTTGGAAGGGACCTCTGTGGGTCACCCAGTCCAACCCTCCTGCCCAAGCAGGGTCACCCACAGCAGGCTGCACAGGACCTCGTCCAGGCGGGTCTTGAATATCTCTAGGTAAGGAGACTCCACAACCTCCCTGGGCAGCCTGTTCCAGTGCTCCGTCCCAGTTCTCCAGGCTGAACCAGCCCAGCTGCAATGCCCGTCCCACGCTGGCATCACCCCAGTGCGGCTGCTGGCGAAGATCTGGGTGATCTCGGCACGGACGGCGGTGGAACCACGCGTGCATTCAGCACATCACGTTCTGCTGGGCACTCACGCCAATCTTCTCCAGCACCAACCTGTTTTCTCTCCGAGGGCTTCCCCCCAAATGTCGAGGCAGGCGCACACTCAGACCCCCCAACACCTCTAGGCACGTGCTCACTCTTCCGTGGTTTCTACATGTGAAAAATGAGCACCCTCGCACAGAAGCGTGTCGGAAAAGCGAGCGCTGGGTTCCTAAACGGGAGAGCTCATCTGGGTCCCAGACACCTTCCCTGCTCCTCCTGTTCAAGCGCAGAGGTTTCCGTCTCTAATGGAGAGGTTTATGCAGATAGCATCAAGCTGGAAGTAAAGAGCCCATAAGGTATTTAGGGAAGCAATTCTTCCTGCTCCTAATCCTGCCAACAGCAATTTCAGATAAAAACCATAAAACCCAGCAGTTTCTATTAGAATAGATTTAGTTATTATGCTAGCATGGGGGGCGGGGGAGAAACCCCCCAAACCAGAGCACCATGCTAGCAGGGGGATCACAGAATCATAGAACCACAGAATGGCAGGGGCTGGCAGGGCCCTCTGTGTGTCCCCGAGCCCAGCCCCCTGCCCAAGCAGGGTCTCCCAGAGCAGGCTGTCACCCTCAGAGGGAAGAAGTTCTTCCTCATGTTCAGACGGAACTTCCTGTGCTTCAGTTTGTGCCCATTGCCCCTTGTCCTGTCACTGGGCACCACTGACAAGAGCTTGGCCCCATCCTCCTGACACCCACCCTTCAGATATTTGTAGGCATTTATAAGGTCCCCTTGCAGCCTTCTCTTCTTCAGGCTGAACAAGCCCAGTTCCCTCAACCTCTCCTCGTAGTGGAGATGTTCCAGTCCCCTCACCATCCTTGTAGCCCTCCGCTGGACTCTCTCCAGTAGCTCTTCATCCTTCTTGAACTGGGGAGCCCAGAACTGGACACAGTACTCCAGATGAGGCCTCACCAGGGCAGTGTAGAGGGGAAGGAGAACCTCCCTTGTCCTGCTGGCCACACTCTTCTTGATGCACCCCAGGATCCCATTGGCTTTCTTGGCAGCCAGGGCACACTGCTGGCTCATGGTTAACCTGTCGTCCACCAGGACACCCAGGTCCCTCTCCGCAGAGCTGCTCTCCAGCAGGTCCGCCCCAGCCTGTACTGGTGCATGAGGTTGTTCCTCCCCAGGTGCAGGACCCTGCATTTGCCTTGGTTGAACTTCATCAGGTTCCTCTCTGCCCAGCTTTCCAGCCTGTCCAGGTCACGCTGAATGGCAGCACAGCCTGCTGGTGTATCTACCACACCTCCCAGTTTGGTGTCATCAAACACAGTGCTCTTGATTGCTGCTCGCGGAAACACAGAAATAATTAGTTGCATTAGAGAACTGTCACTCAGCCCGAATTCTGCTTCACCTGCAGTAAAAAACGACCACTTTAAAGATAAAAATTGGCAGGCATTTAATCTTCATGCTGCACTGCTGTCTTTTCCCCTGCTTTAAAAAAAGTCTGCTTCTCCACGCAACCAATTATGTCTGAAGAGTATCAGGCGTCCTAATGCGCAGTGATTTATCAGTGGTGATAGGGCGTTAGCCCTGTTCGACCCTGTAAGGGGAGGAGGATGCCACCGAGTCTCGTACGAAGTCAACAGCAACGACCCCAGATCCTAGAAGGCCTGCAGAACTTTGCCGAGACTGACCCACTTCCAGAACAACTTCCAGACCATTTTTAGAGGCCATATAAAAGCTTTTCTTTTTAATCTTACAGCTACAGCATCAAGACGGGGAAGGGAGTAAAGTAAGATCTCACCCCTTCTTCGCTGGTTCTTTCAGAACAGGCATGAAGCAGCACTGACGGGATCAAGCAGAGCTTCTTCCAAGGCTTCTCAGCAGTCCAGGTCAGCTCATTAACTGAGCAGCACAGCAGAAAGCTCTCCTGCAGCCTCTGAGCGGGCGTATCCACCTTCACTCCTGCAATGTGCAGCAGCACGTCGACGTTACCAAAGCTACGGCAGAGAACCTCGTCGGGATGACGCTGCTCGGTAGTGCCCGCGGGCTCTGGCACAGCGGCAGCCGACCCATCTTCAGGCTCCCAAGAGCCCTGCGGCCCATCGCTTGCTGTGAAGGCTGACGGCGAAGGAAAGGAACGGCAGCGCAAGGACACTGCCAGAGTCTGCGTTGCTGTGCTGGGCACTCCGCTCCCCGCAGCAGAAGCTGGGAAATGAGACAAGAAGAAATGTTTCCAGGACTGCAGGGTGGGTGTCAGGAGGATGGGGACAAGCTCTTTCCAGTGGTGCCCAGCGACAGGACAAGGGGTGCATCAAGAAGAGTGTGGGCAGCAGGACGAGGGAGGTTCTCCTTCCCCTCTACACTGCCCTGGTGAGTCCCCATCTGCAGTGCTGTGTCCTGTTCTGGGCTCCCCAGTTCAAGAAAGATGAAGAGCTACTGGAGAGAGTCCAGCGGAGGGCT